ATTATTATAGTTTCAAGAACAACCTTTGTGGGTTTTCTCATAACACTTCACCTGCCAAGATGAGTCATTTTGCATTGGTGAAACAAAAATATACCACCCACACCCCTCTGTGGTACACCTAGCTCTCAATCTTCTTTTGTCATTCCTATCAAAACGAACCACCATCCCTCTTCTATAGCAGAAACCCTGAATAACATCCTTAGCCTCTGATTTTGTACTAAAAATCATCCCTAACTTCAACTTAGGGTTTTTATCAGTTTTAGGATTATATTTAGGGAATTTCACAACATTATCCTCCTCATCAGACCCTCTAACACTTTCAAATGAATCACTATCCCCTAACTCAAGATCATGCTCTTCCTCAAATATACCCTCAGACAAAAACTCATTTTCAATTGATTTACCATTATTTTTTTCATTCACCCCAACAAATTCTGCATCTTTGTCAACATTTCTGTCAAACAAAATATCATCTTCATCCATATTATAGTCACTATCATTGAACTCTTCACATTCTGAATCACTATCATCAACAGAAGCACACTCTTTATTTTGTTCATGTTGTTCAGATTGTACAGATTGTTCAGGATGTTCAGATTGTTCAAGATGTTCAGGTTGTTCAACATTAGAGTTCAGACTACCAAGAAATGAGAGGTCAATGACAGGATCACTTTCAACCTCAAGATTAGAGTAGTTGTTATCAACACGATGTACATGTTCTAAAACAATTCTCACTATTCTGTTTTCAGGAATGAAGTTCATGACCTTATATGCCAATTGATCACTATCAATAATATGACTACCATCTTATAAACTAATTCCATGCATATGCCAGGCATTCACATGATCACTTTTATAACCTAGTTGCTTTATAAAATCCTTTAACTCAATCAACCCAAACATCTCCCCATCCACCCCATCAAAATAATCCAAATACCCACCTCAGTAATCTCTCACAGGAATATGCATCATTAAACCACCGTGCAGAAACTCAATTGTGAAGACAGTTGGTTCCGACAAAGGGTCTACAACACAGAAAAAAAAAAAAAATCAAATAAAACATAACTGAAAAATAGTATGCATAAACAAATAAACAGAACTGAAAACCCCTAATTTGTTCAGCTCATAATCGAAAAAACCCTAATTTGTTGAGCTGAAAAAACCCTAATTTTTAGGGCAACTCTCACAATAATCATATAATATGGAACTTTTCAAAATTAACCATATAATTTCCATTAATTCAAAGAATTAGTGACGAACTGAAGTGAAAAAACTTACCGTATTCAGGTTGCAACCCACGTATAATCCTTCTCGCCATGGAGTCAGTGGGCTGTCACAATAATCAAATAATATGCTCGTTGCAAATCATAATATGCTCGATAATATGCTCGTTGCAAATCAGAATATGCAACACCAGTCGATTGCCCACTTGAATGCGATAAATGAAAGAAATTTTTCTACAGGTAAAATGTTAGGTTTTTTTTCACAGCAATTAGGTCTGCTCGATTGGAAAATTAGGGAAAACCGATTATTTAGGTTTCTTTGAGGAAAACAACCGACTAGAGAAGGTGATGGTCAGTTGACTCATGGTCAACTGATATTTTGGGCAATAATGATGGATTTTGAATACGTTAGTGACTACAATTGATTAAGTTAAAACCATGGGTATCAAAACTGAAAGTAGGTAAACCTGGGGTACCAAAAGTAAAATTTTCCCTTTTTTCCCTTCAATATTTACATTTAGTCATAAGCAGTGCTAACTTGAAAGTTTTTGAACCTTTTTCCACAGGGAGAAAGAAGACAACGAGAGCATAAAATCGGATTATAAAGATCACTGCTTGAAGGAACAGATGGAAAATGCATCACAAGTACCTTAGAAACTTGGCCCTTGAGGCCGCAAGCACATACATTTTCCAAACTTTTTTATTGCTTCTTGACATTTGCCTGTCGTTTGTATTTGTGTTCGGCTGTGTACGAAAGGATCTAGCTTCGTTCTCTCTTTCCACTTTCGGTTGATTTATTTTCGAACATTCAAGAATTGTTTAAATGTAGTGGTTTTTGTTATGATATCATCTTTAACTGCGCAGGCATTAAGTGAGACGACCCAGACAACCTCCATTGCTCGACTTGAAGTTGTTGGCTTCTGACCCTAATGAAAACTTTTGGACAAAGTTTCCTCTGGAAGGGTCCAAAACTACGCCACCCCCCTAGCCGTGCGAGTTTAAATGGAAAGATTAGTGCCCCAAAGTATTCAGGTGAGATGTTTAGCTAAAAGCCCTTCTAAGGAATTTAAGAGCTTATAAGCTCATAAAACAATCAGTTTTTCACCTTGAAATAACAACTTATGAGTTGTTTCACACTTCAGAGTGGTTTTAAAGGTCTTACAAATTCTTAAAAGTGTTTTTGATGATTTTTTCCCCGAAAGAATAGTTTATTTGTTGTTTATTGAAAAAAGGTATTAAAATAATCGACAATTTGTATAGAGAGTTGAAATCAAAAGTTGTAGCGTTATCTAGACAAGCCTCAATGTCTAATCTAGAACTGTATACCCTCCGTAAGCAGATTGTAAAGGAAAGCAAAAGGGGGCAGGGTGTAAAAAGGATAGAATTCAGGCGGGACGTTAATCTCTATTACATTGACCTTGAGCTCGACCATAGGGAGAGTCTCGATGTAATCACAACCAATTATATTCTTTTTCTGAGAGTGTTGGGCGAGTAAGCAAGTAACAGATAGAGTGTAGAATACTTTATGTGTTGTTTATTGAAAAAAGGTGTAAAAAAAATTGGCAGTTTGTGTAGAGAGCTGAAATCAGAAATGGCAGCTTTATCTTGACAAGCCTCAATGTCTGATCTAGAGCTACATATCATCCGTAAGCAGATTGTAAAGGAAAGCGAAAGGAGGCAGCCATTTTTTAAAGAGGTAGTTTGCTTCAAACAGGAAACAGATGCTCTGAGGGGAGAATGCGAAAGGATCAACAAGTTCACTATGCTGTTATTTGTTAAAGAGGTGATTTCTTTGAGGAATTTTCTTATGACGGGATGAAGTATGTTTTGTATGATTGTGTATATATGTACAAGGACGGTGAACCAACACCTACATTGGAAAACTTATTGAGATTTGGGAAAACAATGACAAGTCTAAGAAGATAAAAGTTCAATGGTATTGTAGGCCCTCCAAAATATCTGCTCATTTAAAAGATATAGAGTTGTTGGACAATGAACTTTTCTTTGCTTTGGGTGATGGCAAAGGTCTTGCAAATATAAATCCTGTGGTAATTTAGAAACTATATTTGGTTGTTAATTCAAATCTGACTTATATACTTACCAGAGTTTTATTATAAACTTTTTAGTTAGTACCTTAATATACCATTTTTTTTAGTACATTCACAAATCTGGTGACTAAGTAGTTTATGAAATAAGTGTTTGATAGAAGATTTTTGTTGGTCTTTACAATTTACTGCTAAATTATTCTCTTGCTCCATTGTGCATGATCTATTTATTAGAGTTTCACATGCAGGATACGAGCATGATGCTTGGTTGGGAGTGAATGGGTCATGTTGTATCTAGTAATTATTATTGTTAGGTCTTTAATATTAAAATTCAACTATGAAGCTTGTGATTTTTGTAATTGATGTATATATTTGCTTTATGTGTGTGATTTATGAATAGAATAATTATTTAGCGTTCTTCATAACTGACTATCAATCGGTTATTTGTTGGGTTTATGGAGATCTTATATTGTGCGACGTGCAGTCTAAAGAGTGTTCTAATATTGCTGTTATTTGGTAATTTCTGGTGGACGATTGATATACTTATGGGGTAATTTAAATCCTGCAGCACTTTCTTAGGGACGACAATTGCACCGGAAACGATGGTTGAGATGAACGATCCGGCTGTGACGGATGGTGTCCTGGCAATGCGATATATCCAACCGAGTCTAAAAAATGGTTGCCAAGTTTGATTGCCACTTTAGTTATTGTTCTGAATTCATCGCACTTTGGTGTTTGTGTGTTCTATTCTATGTGGACCAAATTGTTGTGTTTCTGTTTGATCTTTGTTTGGTATTTGTGGTTATTGAGGTGGTGTATAGTTTTAATGATTAAATATTTATGGGACTGCATTTGTTATTTGTTTATTTTTTAGAAAGTGGCTTGGGTTTTTCCTATGGTAGGTTCTTTTGGGAAAAAATGTGGAGTCTTTGTGGAGTATTCTATGATCTGATTCTCTTGTCTGTGTCAGCTCGTGATAGAGTGATAAACGAAACAGTTGCTCCAAAGAAAATCCATCTATAGCAGAAAGATGAGGGATTATTTCTAAAAACCCGGATGGACCATACGTGATCCATGCTTTCGTACTATGTAAACAGTTTGCAACATGTATACTTAGGTTTGCAACTTGTTTGTGTATTTGGTATTATATATACTTTTTTCTTCCCATTCATGAACCTTATATACTGAGGTTCCAAGGCTCCGTTAATTGAAGAATCGACTAAATATTACATTTCCGTCAATTCATTCCCAATTGTACAATTCAATTTCCAGCATAAAGCGTCACTAGACAACACACGCAATACATAGAATGTTTATGAATCAATTGAGAAAATCGTAAGCAAATAACTTTCAACACAATTTTAGTTTCGGGATGCATGCGCACGCATACTGATTTAAACCACCACACAACTCATAAACCACTAGCGAAATTCAAAAGACCAAAATCTTAAAACATTTCCATAAAAACAAAAAAAACACAACTTATGACAAATTTTCAGTGTATTTTTTAGACCGAATTTTAGTCCGCAGTGGGTGCACAACCAAAGACTACTAGTAGAGTAATTTTCTCCTCACTTATTCCCCCACAAATTGTTGGCCCAATACAAAAGCCCTTGCAAAACTCCGAGATTTGTCCAGCAACAAAAGGAACAGGCGAAAAGAACCTATATTTTTCCTATCGCTTCCAAAATCGCAGACAAATCACACAAACAGGCGAGCTTCAAGTTCATCAATGGCGCCCACCAAGCCACAGAAAAAGAGCAGCGGTTTGAATAAGAGAAAAAGGGCTCCGAACCAGAAATCTGAGGGCACAACATCAAGCTCCAGTAAACCAAAATCAACATTTAGTCCCAAGAAACTGAAGTTAAATTCGGGCAGTGCTCAAGGTCAATTTACGAAGAATCCTGTTAAAGCGCCTAAGAAGGATTACGAGAAGCCTGCTGTGAAGAAAGATGAAGTGGGGGATTCCAAAAAACTTGCTCGTCTGCGTGCAAAGGTACTTATTTTTTTGCAATTTTTTTTTTTCATTTTTTGTGGATTTTTTTGATATTAACCGGAGCTGAAAGATGTACATTCGTGGAAGTCTCTTGCTCTTTATTTGGACCGCAGTGCTTAATAGACTTTTGTTAGTTCAAATTAGAGAACTTTGATAGCTAAAATTTAATCTTGAGAAATATTGAGATGAGGGCTCAAGCAAGACCCTCAGTTTCGGCGTTGTAATATGGGGAACGACAATTTGGAAGCTAGATTATGCTGGGCAGCACGCTGTAGAACAGCGTGTATATTGTGCTTTGTGCTTTAGTGATTGGGCATTGGGTTCGTACATATTTTTGACATCAGAAAGACTTGAATTTGATTGTTTTTAGGGTGATATCGAAACTAAATTCACTTTCGTAAATATCTGGACATGGGTTTTGATTGTCCGGGCAAGGACCCTTATAGAGAAAGAAGATGAAGCTATATTTAATGTTGAAAAATGAACCAAGGCATACTAGGCCTTCGTTTCATTTTGTCTAAGGTTTGGTTAGCCATTGTTTTATGCTGTTGAAGTTTTGATCTGAACTTTTACGATACACTGTTTATATTCTCTTCGTGTGTACTGTATCCACATTCTTATATTTAGCAACAAGATTTCAGACAGGGTTGGGCCTGTCATTTATTTTGTTCTTCGATTGACATTTCCTCCTGCAGGAACTAGCCGAGGCAAGAAAAAAGAGGAGGAAGAAGCATTACTCACTGGAGCAAGTAATTTCCATCACTCATTTGAACCTCACTGGTCACCGTTGATTTTTTACTGTGCAGTCAACATAGATTAAATGTTTTTCACATTCTTTTTTAATTTGTAGTTGTAGTGATAATATCTTTTAGTTTGGACAGAATATTCCATTTCCAATTTTTTGTTGTGTTGTTTGCTGTTTGCAGCCAATACATGTAATTTATACTTATTGTGAAGAAATGGTATGCAGCTGTTCACAAAGATGTGTTTGCTGCGTACCTGTAGTGAATGTATGAAGTGAGGAAGAATGTCAAACATATATAATGTTCCATTCCAACATTTGGACAGCATCGCTTTGCATCATGCAGTTAATTGTGATAATTATAAGCATGATTGATCTGATCTTGCCACATTCATGTGGTTCGCTCTACTTTGTGATTTTTATTCTAAGTTAGTTCATGGACTCCCCTTAAAACTAACATTTTCACTTAATTCCTACCAGGAGCTTGCCTTGCTATGGGAAAAGATGAGATGTCGCAGTGTTAAAAAAGAAGATAGGTCGAGGTGTGTGTTTTGGCTGCTATTATAATCGAATTCTTTGCTCTTTGTTTACCTTTTAAAGATGACCATAAATTATGTATCCTTCACAAAGACTTGTGCTAAATCTTCTTTTTTGGCCGTCTGCAAGGTTGGTGAGCGAAGCACTAAACAAGATGAAGGGGAAAGTTTCTGAAATAGCAAGCTCTCACATCTCTTCTCGTGTTCTTCAGGTTTACACATTCCCAACACCTTCCATGTTCATCCCACAACAATTACCTTACTTTATAAGGTTCTCTTTTTTATGCTAATGCATTATATGTGCTCTTTCACTACAGACTTGCATTAAACACTGTACACAAGATGAAAGGAACGAAGTGTTCAAGGAGCTACGTCCTCATTTTATATCTCTTGCAACCAATACTTATGCAGTTCATCTTGTAACCAAGATGTTAGATCGTGGTACTCTCGGCTGAGAATCCTAGCTGGACTAACCTACGTCTATTTTTCAGTTAAATTACAGCTATGTGATTGTTGTTTCTTAAAGAAGATCAATTTTTCTTTGTTTTCTATTTTTTTGCAGCACCCAAAGAACAGCTTGCAGAATTTATATCTTCTCTCCATGGACATGTTGCCTCTCTTCTTCGACATATGGTTGGATCTCTAGGTATGGTGGCAAACTTGGAATGGAAATCTATTACCTCAAGCTGGTAGCAAAGTTTTGTATTATAATCAAGTCTCAGCTGGTAGCAAAATCTATTAAATCATTTTTTTCCTCCCTGGAACTTTTGCTGTATACATGACTTACTTTAGGAGGAAGTTTGTAAGAACTCAGCCTACAAATAGCTGTCCAAAAATGCAGAATTTACTCTCTTCATTCTGTGAATGTTTTACTTTGCTTGTGTTACCAGGATTGATTATTCATATATAACATTTTTTTGCAGTTATCGAGCATGCGTATAATTTGGGGAATGCAACTCAGAAGCAATCACTTTTGATGGAACTATATTCTCCAGAGCTTCAGTTATTTAAGGATTTGGTTACTGGGAAAGAGAGCAGGTAATAATCTTATTTTGCTGTGGTATCATTCGGACTGTAATTTCACAACATCACCATATTTAGAGTTTCACATGTTTTCTTAAAGTTGTTTGTTTTTATTGGTGAGGCTTTATGAACTTGATCATTAAGAGAATGCTAAATTATACTGATTTGAACCGGTAGATTGTTCTATGGCTAAACTTTGTCTATCTAGAAGCTAAAGATCGTATATTAATTCAACAGTGTGTTTGTGTTTCTTTTCATGGGTATTCCAATTTTATGTGATAACAGTAACTCTAGTCTGTTTAAGGGAGTCCAGTATATTGGACAAGATCATTATGTATGGCGTGGAGATCAAATTGAACTCTTGTGTATTTTCATTCATTGTTTTTATCATTCATCTTCTGTTCATGTGGTGGGTTGCATGCCATAAAAGACCAATCTTTTTACAGATTAGAAGATGTAATTTCAAAGTTGCAGCTACAGAAGTCATCGGTCTTACGTCACATGACATCTGCGCTTCTACCCATCCTGGAGAAGGGTATTTTAGACCATTCCATTGTACACAAAGCATTAATGGAGTACTTTACTGTTGCAGATCAGGTACAATTTTAAAAATGGATGAATTGTATGTGTCTTCCCTGCTAATATGATTAGAAGAAAATTCCTTGTTTTTTTTTCTTCGTTATCTGGTGATCTGGTCTAAATTATGTGTTTTGAAGTCTTCTGCCACAGATTTTATTCAGCAGCTTTCTGGTCCGTCTCTCGTTCGAATGATTCACACCAAGGATGGATCTAGACTTGGTATGCTCTGTATCAGGCATGGGACTGCAAAGGTTTGGCTTGGATCGGCTTGCAATTCTTTATGCATCTATCTGTTTTCTTGGTCGATTTGTTCTGAAAGTTCTATTCAATGTATATTTGTTTAGGAGCGGAAGAAAATTATCAAGGGCATGAAAACCCATGTAGACAAAATAGCTCATGACAAATTTGGTAGCATGGTATGACTTTGCAAGCTTCTGTCTTCTACTTTCTACTATTCCATTGATATCTGTCCATTAGCTTGACTTGTTAATTAACTTACATCATTAGTTTTTGATCTTGCAATGGGCCTTTATAATTTCACAACTGTTCGTTCCAATCACTGTTCCAGGTACTTGTCTGTATCTTTTCGGTTGTTGATGACACAAAACTAGTGTCTAAGGTACGTTTCATCATATGATTAGTTTTTGTCATTCTCCTGTTGCAATAATTGTCACTTCTGACGGTCATGTGCTCACATGCAGATTATAATTCGCGAGCTCGAAGGGAATTTGAAGGAGCTTATTTTGGATCAGGTTAGTTAGTGTGTTCTTCCATTCTCTTTATTGTTCTAGCAGATGATGTCTCACGGTTGGAATTTCTGTCGAATTTGTTGTGTTTGTGGATATTTCTTGCCTTCTATTTTAAAATATTTAGTAAATTTTGTGTTTCTTTCTGGCAACTAGACAGAATTGTGTTTTGAATCACATCCCTGATTTTTCTTTATTCATTTTTTTTTTCTTTTTGTATTTCTCTGAATTTATTTATTTATTCATTCTTTGGTAGAGTGGTCGCCGCCCTTTTCTGCAGCTTCTCCATCCTAATTGTGCACGATATTTCACCCCCGAAGATTTATCATCTTTGAGCCTGTCTGTACCATCCCTAAAAAATAAGGTAAAAACACCCTTCTCCGTCTCTTTTTTACTGCTAAAAAATCTCTATTGCTCTTGGATTGTCGACAAATTTAACATTAGTTTGTCCATTTTTTGTTTCAGAGTATATCGGATGGTGGTGAAACTGCCGAAGGAGATGCTGATGGTGATAATGACAACTCTGATTCAAATAAACAGCCTAATGAAGGTGGTAAGAAGGATTCTTTCAAGCGGAGGCAAGAGTTGCTCGTCAAGAGTGGGCTTGCTGAGGTTTGTACCTTGTGCAATTTGTATTAATCGTGGAGAAAATAAATTAGATTAGCCAAAAAAAAAAAAAATACGGGCACAGAGTTTGCTATTTAAATGCATTTTTCCGCTTTCCTTTCAAACTTGATTAGCTACCAACTCTTTCTTGCTGTAAATTCATATTCACTTTATTCTTGCATTATATTCGGATGTTATACGGTATTTTGCAGAAACTTGTTGATGCATGCTGTGAAATGGCAGATGAGTTGCTAAGGTCCAAGTACGGGAAAGAGGTTATATGTGAGGTATAAGTTTGGTACTTATCTTGATGTTTCTTGATTTCTTTTTAGAAATATTATGAATACGACCCTTTTGAGGTATTGACCAAGTACAAACGCATCCAGTTCTATTTCGAAATCAAATCACACAACACTTTTGTATCAATTTCCTTTTGTTACGATTAATTTTAGAAGCAATTAGTTCTGGAAACTTGCCAATAATAGCGCTAATGAGATGTATCATTAAAAAAAATGCAACTAGGTTGCTACTGGAGGTGCTGATAGAATACTCCACCCGACTTTGGATGAAAAGTTGGGCCAATTGCATGAAGCCATTGCATCCATAGCTTTCCAGCCTAAGGTGGATGAGCCCGAACAAGAGCACATTCTCGAACATTTTCATTCGAGTCGGGCCATAAGGAAACTCGTTCTAGACTGCCCTGCATTTGCTTCGACTCTCTGGGAAAAGGCTCTAAAAGGAAAATGTGAAATCTGGTCCAAGGGTCACAGGTTAGAGGCATTTGTTTCGAACGTTTTCCCCCAAAAGTTTAGTATTTTTTTCTTCTTGGATAATTATATAGTTTGTGTATCACCAACATATTTTAATGTTTGTATTTGTTGTACAAATGTTAGAGGCATTTGTTTCGAACGTTTTCCCCCAAAAGTTTAGTATTTTTTTCTTCTTGGATAATTATATAGTTTGTGTATCACCAACATATTTTAATGTTTGTATTTGTTGTACAAATGACAAACTAACCCGGTTGCGAAAATTGATGCATTTGTTGGTTGTTTATTTTAAAAAAATTACTTGTTCAATATGATTTCGTTACAATATTCTGATTGTGAGTGCTCGTTAACTTAATTTTCAGCTCGAAGGTAATTAATGCGTACTTAGAGACCTCCGACTCTATAGTGAAGAAGTTGGCCAAAGACGAATTGCAGCCTTTGGTAGAGAGAGGCGATCTGTCATTACCTGCAGCCGGTGAATCGGGCAAAAAAGATTAAACTATTGAATGGTAAAATTTGGGGACTGAAGAAGGAAAAGGCTCCCATTTTTATTTATTTATGAGAAAATTTCGTTTTACCAGATGAAGCCATTTTCTGTTATTTCCTTCGAGTTTTGTTATGGTTCTTACTTATGCCTTTGTGGAGATGAAAAGTTTTGTAGCTCAAGCTGTGTGACTAATGATGACTTGTTTGTTCTGTTCTTAAAATTCAACATATACACAAATGTTTTGATTTTAATGTTGTTGTTGTTGTTGTTGTTGTTGTTGTTGTGTGTGTGTGTGTGTGTGTGTGTGTGTCTGTTAGATAGACTTACAGGTTAAAGAAATTTAGTAAAAGATGAATACTTCCAATTGAAATGTTGTTTTCTTCTAAACAATATGAATAAAAAAGTACGGACATTTTATAGTATAAATATGCATTTCAATTAAAAAGTGTGATTGGTCGATTTGCCCAAGGATTAGATTATTTCATGTAAGAATTTTTGCTCGAGTTTTAGTAACACCATATAATTACATTTATATATTCTAAAGTAAAAAATTTCCTTCTTGTAATATGTTAGAGTAAAATGTAATTTTAGTCCTGTATGTTTCGCTATCTTAACTTTTTCGTCCGGATCGAATTGAGTTTTTTATTTTTTATTTTTTTTTTGTCATGTATGTTCGCAAAAAGATTACAAAAAGGTCCATTTTCGCAACAAAGGGTCCTTTTTATTTTTCTTTCTGTTCAAAAGGACAATCTTTTTACACCCCATCCCCAACTTCTTTCACTGCCTAGGTGAAACACAAGCACACACATAAACAAGCATTACAAAGTCACACACTATTTTCTACATTTTTTTTTTTTTTTTTTTTCCAGCTAAATACTGAAACCACTGCAATAATGTGTAGTGTACTGACTTAGGTCCTGATATCAATAAGTCAATATGATTATACCAGAAAAAACCGTCCAAGTTCCTTATCCTTCGTGTAAACAAGGGTCGACTAAGGGGCGCAAAATCTCAGCTCAGATTAACCACCATAACGATGCTTTAGCTGCTCGGGAGGCTCATCCTCCATTATGCCCGAGCCTGATGTTGCTAAGTACTCGCGGATGGTTGTTTTACGGTCGCCAAGAAATGTATGATCTAAGAAGTTTTCGTACGCTGCTTCACTTAGATTTTTTGCTGCCAACACGCTGCAGAGAAGATTTTTTATTTTTTTTTTAAATACAGAGATCAGGGAACATTTGAACAATGTTGGAGTTTTTATTTTTATAGTTTTTACCCGTGCTATAAATCCATACAGAGAAGTTCATTTACTCCGAAACCAAATGTGTTAAATAGAGTAAATACCCGAAAAAAA